TTTAAAGCCAGCCAGGGTAAAAAAGACAGCAACCTACAAGGGAACCACCATTAGGCTATCAGCAGGTTTCTCAGCAGACACTTTACAGTCCAGGAGGGAGCAGAATGATATTCTGGAAACACTGAAAGATAAAAACTGTCATCCAAGAATACTCTATCCAGACAGGTTATAAGTCAGATATGAAGGAGAAATTAAAGGCTTTCTCAGGCAAACAACAGCTGAGGAAGCTCATCACCACTAGACCTGTCCTACAAGAAGGGTTGAAAGGAGCCTTTTGACCAGAAACAAAAAGGCAAAGTACCCAAAAGTTTGAGTAAGGTGATAAACAGAATGAGAAAATTGTAACTCTTTCCCAGAATAGGTTTTAAAACATTTTATTATAGCATAAAGGTTAAAGGAGGGGGGAAAGCAGAAGAAATAATAACTACTTCAGTTTTGTAACTCACAACATAAAGATGGATAATTTGAGAAAACAGAAACATAAAAGGGGAAGAAAAAGATGGAACCCATGCAGTGATGTTATCAGCATGTGTGTGCTCAGTCGTGTCTGACTTTGCAAGCTTGTAGACTGTAGCCTGCCAGGCTCCTCTGTCCATGGGATTCTCCAGGCAAGGATCCTGGAGGGGTTGCCATTCTCTTCTCCAGGGGATCTTCCTGACTCAGGGATCGAACCTGTATCTCATGCATTGTGGGTGGATTCTTTACCACTGAGCCACCTAGGAAGCCCCACCAGGAAAAGAAGGACTATTTTATCTATGAGAAGTTTTACGCAAACACCATGGCAACAACAAAACGTAAATCTGGAAGAGAAACACAAAAAATAAACAAAGAGGACACTGAGAAAAACATCAGAGAAAATCAATTCAAAATAGCAGACAGAAACACAAGGAAAAAAAACAGTGGAGAGACTGGGCAACCAGGAAACAAAATTATAGTATTAAGTCTTCATTTGTCAATAGTAACCATAAATGTAAATGAGTTGAATTCAAGAATCAAAAAGTATGGAGTGGTTGGATGGATTAAAAAATAGGACTCAACTACATGCTGCCTCCAAGCAACCCACATCAGCTCTACAAACACAGGTTCAAAGTGAAGGAACAGAAGATGCTACTGTTAGCAAACGATGGCCAAAAAGAGTGTGTAGCCATACTCATATCAAGCAGAACAGACTTGAAGACAAAAACGAATAGTATATAATTATGAGGGGGAAAATTTATCAAGAAGATGTAACAGTTATTAATGTATATACACCTAACATAGGAGCACTAACATATAAAAAAAGAGATATTAACAGACAAAGGGAGAAGTGGGGGCTTCCCCAGTGGCCCAGTGGTAAAGAATCCACCTACCAATGCGGGAAACATGGATTATATTCCTGGGTCCACAAGATGTCCTGGAGGAGGACATGGCAACCCATTCCAGTTCTTGCCAGGAAACATTACATGGACTTGCAGGCTGCAGTCCATGGGTTCTCAAAGAGCGGAACATAACTGAGTGACTGAGCACACACACCCACAAAGGCAGAAATTACCTCACACCATAAGGGAAGTCCTAGCCAGAGTAATGAGGCAAGAAAAAAAAAATAAAGGCATACAAATTGGAAAGAAAGAAGTAAAACTGTCACTATTTGCAGATGATATGACTTTATACACACAAAATCCTAAAGACTCCACCAAAAAACTGAAAGAAATAATAAACAAACACATAAAGTTGCAGGGAACAAAATCAACCCACAAAAATCTGCTGCATTTCTGTATGTTAACAATGAGCTACCAGAAAGAGACATGAAGAAGTAAATCCCATTTATAATTACAACACAAATATAAAATAACTAGGAATAAATGTAACCAAAGAGGTGAAAGATATGCATGGTGAAAAGGACAAAGTGCTGTTGAAAGAAACTGAAGAAGGCACAAATAAATGGAAAGGTATTCCATGCTACTGGATTGAAAGGATGAACTTGTTAAAATGTCCATATTACCTAAAATAATCTACAGATTCAATGAAATCTCTATCAAAATCTCAAGGACATTTTTTCACAGAAATAGAGCAAAAATCCTAAAATGTATATGAAACCTCAGAAGACTGAACAGCCAAAGCAATCCTGAGGGAAAAAAAAAATAAAGTTGGAGGTATCACAACTCCTGATTTCAAACTATGTTACAAAGCTACAGTAATCAAAACAGCATAGTACTGGCACAAAAACATAGATCAACGGGCCAGAATTGAGAACCCAGAAATAAATGCATGCACGTATGGGCAATTAATTTACAACACAGCAGCAAAGAACATACAATGGATAAAGGATAGTCTCTTCAATAAATGTCGTTGGGAGAGCTGAACAGACATATGCAAATAAAATGAAACTAGGCCACTCCCTCACATCATACTCCAAAATCAACTCAAAATGGACTGAAGACTTAAATGTAAAACCTGAAACTATAAACGTCCTAGTGGAAAACATAGGCAGTTCATTCTTGGTCATGGGTCTTAGCAATATCTCCCCAGGTATGTCTCTTCAGGCAAAAGAATCAAAAACAAAAACAAACAACTGGGACTAGAGCAAACTAAAAAAGATTCTGCACAGCAAAGAAAACTATCAACAAAATTTAAAAACCTACTGAATAGGAGAAGATATTTGCAAGCAATTATATCTATTAGGAAGTAATATCCAAAACATATAAAGGACTGATACAACTCAACAACAACAAAACAACCCAACTAAAACATGGGTGGAACTGAATAGGCATTTTTCAAAGAAGATATACAGATGGCTAACAGGTATGTGAAAACAATAGCATAAATTATTAGGGAAACACAAAACCACAGTGAGATATCACCTTGTACCTGTTAGAATGACTATTATCTAGTGAGTGTTGGTGGGAATGTTGGTTGGATAGCATCATCAACTCAATGGACGTGAGTTTCAGCAAACTCTGGGAGACAGTGAAGGACAAGGAAAACTGGTGTGCTGAAGTCCACGGGGTTGCAAAGAGTCAGACATGACCGAAAAACTAAACAACAACAATGGCCATTATGGAAAACAATCTGGAGATTCCTCAAAAAAATGAGACTAGAACCACCATATGATCCAGTTATCCCACTCTGGGGTATTTACTAAATAATATGAAACCATTAATTTGAAAAGATACATGCACTCTCATGCTTACTGCATCATTACTCACAACTGCCAAGTTATGGAAGCAACCTAAATGTCCATGAACAGGTGAACGGATAATGGATGCCCATCAATGGATGAATGGATAATGGAATACTATTCAGCCATAAAGAGATGAAATCTTTCCATTTGCAACAACATAGATGGATCTTGAAGGTATTATATAAGTGAAATAAGTCAGACGGAGAAGGAAAATACCATATGATTTCACTCACCTGTGGAATATAGAAAACAAATGAAAACACAAAACACCTGAATAAAATAAAACAAAAACTAACTCATAGATACAGAGAACAGAATAGTGGTTACTAGAGAGGAAGCTGCTGGGGGAAGATGAAATGGATAAAGCAGACCAACTGTATGGTGATAGATGGAAACTAAATTTTTGGTGGTGAGCATGCTGTAGATACTCACATAGATACTCTACTTCTCTGTATACATGTATATAAATATGTATAAATAATATATATATAAATAATGATATATATACACATACATATATTAAATATATATATAAATATACTCTACTTCTGTATATATACAGAGGTAGAAATATAATGTGGTACACATGAAACTTACAAAATGTTATAAGCTAAAGTTAACTCAATAAGTAAAAAAATAAAATAAAAATACTTAGATCTTGGTCCTTAAAGGTTAACAAATAGATAAATAGACAAAAAGAAAAGAATTGAACCCAGTTTAGCCAACAGTCATATCACCTGATCTGGATTCTCTCTCAATATGTCACTTCCTTCCCTTCACTACACTACTCAAGACCCCAATCCACACATCAGTCGTACTGAGATACTGACACGTCACCAGATGTATATAACTTGCTCATTTCCTGTCTTGACAACTGCCCTGTCTTTCCTCTGCCTGAAAAGCCTTTCTTCTCTTAATCTACTTGAAAAGCTTCAAGAATTAGTTACAATCTCTCTTCCTCTGGGAAGCATTTCTATGATCTGCTCAGAGGTAATTACCTTTTCTTTTGTGCTCAGCGAGCCCCAGTCTTAGCACGGTACTCATCAAATTTTCATAGTCACTTCCATTTCTGTGTTTGTCTTCCCACTAGGTCAGACTGCCTCACAGCTCAAACTATGTTCTGTCTTTTTTCTTAAATACCAAGCATAGTGTTCAGGGCATGGCAGTTGTTTGACTGTGACTTGGTTGAGTTCAGTTCAGTTCAGTCGCTCAGTTATATCAGACTCTTTGCGACCCCATGGACTGCAGCACGCCAGGCTTCCCTGTCCATCACCAACTCCCGGAGCTTACTCAAGTGATAGTGATGCTATCCCACCATCTCATCCTCTGTCGTCCCCTTCTCCCCCCGCCTTCAATCTTTCCCAGCATCAGGGTCTTTCCCAATGAGTCAGTTCTTCACATTAGGTGACCAAAGTATTGAAGTTTCAGCTTCAACATCAGTCCTTCCAATGAATATTCAGGACTGATTTCCTTTACAATTGACTGGTTGGATCTCCTTGCAGTCCAAGGGACTCTCAAGAGTCTTCTCCAACACCACAGTTCAAAAGCATCAATCTTTGGTGTTCAGCTTTCTTTATAGTCCAACTTTCACATCCAAACATGACTACTGGAAAAACCATAGCTTTGACAATATGGACCTTTGTTGGCAAAATAATGTTTCTGCTTTTTAATATGCATAGATTGGTCATAACTTTTCTTCCAAAGATTATGACTACTGAGTGACCAATGAAAAGTGGGATGAATTAATGAATGAAATATACTCAGTGTTTGTTCTCATGCTGCTGCGGATACAGAACATTCATGTTATCTGTGAAAACATAATGTGATTCAGAATACTTACTGTTCTAAGGCTTGAAGCATGCTCCCAGGGTCCTCAGAGGACAGAATGTCTATCATTTGGTCATTGAGAGCGAGATCCTCATTCACACCGTCAGCTGAGGTGAACTGGGAGTGCTCCAGCTTGTTTTCGTGATGCTGAACCTTCAGGAGAATTTCAGAAACAACAATTGAGTGGGCCTTCCTGTGAATGTCACATGCTAGAAAAGTCACGAGGGAACGTGGGGATCTGTAACCAGAGAACCTAGCTGGCCTCACTACTGGTGAACAGATAAGACTCAGGCACAACATTGCACTTTCCTGGGCCTCATTTTCTCATCAAAGAAATGGGATCATACTTCCAGTAGCCCTGCACAGACTTGTTGTGTGGATAAAACAAATCAGGGAATAGAAAGAGCTTTATAACTATAAAGATCTAATACAAATATTTCACCATCACCATCACCATCATCATTGTCCCCCCATCCCCTTCATCACCACCAACACCATCATATATCACCATCAACATCATCATCATCGTGATGCAGAAGGATATTAACAGATGGCATATGGACTTCAACAACATGGATCTGGTTGGTTTCTAATCAGAATATAGAGTTGTCAGATGGACGTGACATCAGAGATAATTAAGCTCAATCCTTCAGTTGGATAGATGATGTATCTGTGCTGCTCTCTGACATTACTAATGCCACAAAAATGCATACTAATTATACTAACATTTAAGAATTTCTGTCCCTGTGCCTTGTATGAGTTATATCATGAAAATGTCACACAAAATGTGCTGATGTCCCCACTTTACATATATGGAAAATGCAGCTCAGAGAGATGAAAATGACATTATCAGAGTTCACACAGCTCATAAAGAGCCTGCATGGTATTTGACCGGAGGTCTACCTAACTCTAAAGGCTGCCTTCTGTTTTATAACACATTTTCTCCTTGGTCACCACCACAAAGAAAAAAAAAATTTTTTTTAATGTGGAAAGAGTTCATATTGTGATGTTGGAAGAAAAAATACTACAAGAGTCTTCAGATCTTAAATCAAATTCACACTTTGCTTTCCTCCCGTGGTTGTAACAATCAGCCTTTAATCTCCGAGAAATGAATTCTGCTCCTTCATCGAATGAGCAGGGTGAGTCTTGCTCATCTGTGATTGATAACAGCTTTGGGAGAGTAAGTAGAATGTCTCATTAGATGGGCCATTTTTCTTCTCTTCACTTCTGCCTGTCAAAGAGATTGTGGGTTGACCTCACTTTGAAATGACAAGTCTCTCCTCTAGGAAGCAGAAACAAACTGAACAATGGGACAGGACTGCCAGCCTCCAGAGGTGGGGGTGTCCCCGGAAGCCAGGTCTCAGCCTGGCCACCTGAAGGCTATTCAGCTTCACTGGACTCAGTTTCCTCACTACGCGATGAAGGAAAAAGATCACAAATGTTTCTTTCAAGTTGCTGGACCTCTGGGTGACAGTCATCCAGCCCCCATGGTCCTGCAGAAATCAACCACCCCTCAGGGTGCTCACTCCCAGGAGCAACTTCTCATCCCAGGACAGCACCCTGTTTTCCTGCCTCTGTCTGTCTGTCCTCTGATTGGCTGCAGGGTGATGGTGGAGATTCGTCCCTTCACATGTTCACTAAGTGCCTTCTAAGTGTCAGGCTCCATACCAGGCAAGGGGATTACAGCAGGCAGCATCCACGACCCCTGCCCTTGCTCTTCAGGGCCTTTGAGCCCAAGATCTACCAGCCAACACCTACACTTCTTTCCCTGAAGGCTCCTTCTGGCTCACAGTGGGCCACACAGGCAGGCACTCAGTGATTCAGCCAGAACAAGGGGTTCCCAATCCTGTCCTGGCCATCTGTTAGAATCATCCAGGGAGCTTTTAAAAACAACTAATGATGGGGATGCCTCCCGGGAAAGCAGTCAGAGTCTGTGCAGGAAGGCCTAGCTTTGAGCATGCAACATGGTTCCAGCATGCATCCATGGATGTCATGGATGGTCCTGACATCCATCCGGAGTTGAAGGATAAACTTGAATCTACATCTACCACCAACCAACTGCTGCCCTCCAGGAAGAAGATGCGTGTTGATTCCCACCTGATGTCTGGTAAGCATGCCTCCCTTCACACACTGGTATCGAACCATGAAGAAGAGCGCAGCCCAGGTCAGCACCAGGGAGAGGATGAAGGCCACACAGAACCCTGCTGCGTGGAGGCCGTGGTTCGGCAGAACCTGTGGGGATGAGAGAGAAACAGATCTATTCATGGCCACACTTCACATCTTTCAAGGCAAGTTACAACTGAGTTAGAGAAGAACAAGGACAGAGTCAGTGAGACCAGACTGGGTTTGGATGGAACTTTGCCACCTATTAGCTGATTGCCTTGGGACCACTGCTGAACCTCTTTGAGCCCAATTCAAATGGGTCCAAGCACTTCAAGGAGCTGAGCATGGAGGCTTGCACACGACAGGACCAACCACCCCAAGGCTGGCACATCACAGGTGCTCAGGAATGTTAAATTCCCCGATCAAATATGTAACAATCCTAAGGCAGCAGGAAGGACTCAAGACACGCTTTCAGCTGGGCAGAATTTTGCAGAGGCCAGAGGAAGAATCCATAGTGCCCTCAACTTCCCTCAAGGCCGTCTACTCCCCGGCCCTGGGACCACTACCCATTAAGGGTGGAGCCCACTTTGGACGTCAGGGTCACTCGGAGGATGTACATGGCAGGGGGGGCATCACACAGCAGAAGGCAGCCCAGTAAATGACCATCCAGGGTGGGCTGCAGAGTTCCTGTGAGCCTCATTCAATGTGCCAAGCACACTCTCTCCTGGACGGTTTCCTCCGGGCTCCACTCTGTGACATCCTGGGACTAACTGGATCCACTGATGGGCCAGGAGTGGCCAGCACCAAGTAATAACCATGAGAAGCAGTAAGTTCTAGACACCCCCACATTCCACCCCACCCTCCACCATCTCTTTGGGATCCAGAATGTGATACCAGACAGCAGCAGCTGCCATCTTCCTGTGCACTCAGCATGGGGCAGGCCTGGGGCCAAGGTCGTGTTCTCACATCGGGGGCTTATGTCGGAATCACCTGCAGGGTCTGCATTCCACCCTCAGGGACTCTGCATCACCAGACCTTGGACAGGAACCGAAAAGAGGCATTTCTAGCAAGTTCCCAGGGGTTGCTGCCGTCCTTCTTGACCAGGGGCCACTCTCTGAGAATCCCCTGGGCTAAAGGTTTTACAAGAACTAACTCCTTGAATTCTCCCAAAGACACTTTGAGTAACATGAGGACAGCTCTGGCTTTCAAATTCTACAGACCTGAACTGGAATGCCTCCTCTATCAAAAGAGCTGTGATAACAGTATTTTGGGGCCAGGGACTTGACCTCTGAGAACCTCAGTTCTCTTATCTGCAACATGGGGATAAAAACATCATTTCTCACAGCAGGGAGAGTAAAGCAAATAAAACCACAGAGGAGTTTCATGCAAACTTTGACTCTTTTATTTAATAGACAAATATGTATTGGGTGTCTACTGGGTACCAGGCTACATGCTAGAAGCTAATAAGATGGAGATGCCTTCTGCCTTGTGTGATTATATTCTTCCTGTGGGCACTGACCAGGGCTGACCCAGACTACATGCTTCTCACAGACAAGGGCCTGGAGCAGCACAGTAGCTGAAGCTTGGGCTCTAGACTCAGACCACTGGGTGTGGGGCCCATCTCTGCTACCTCGTGGCCATGTGGCATTGGGCAAATCACTTCATCACTTTCTCTCTCTCTCTTTTTCGTGTGGAGCATTCTTAGTCTTTTATTAATTTGTTACAATGTTGTTTCTGTTTTACATCTTGCCTTTTGGTTGGGAGGCATGTGGGACCTCAGCTCCCCAACCAAGGATCAAACTCGCACCCTCTGCACTGGAAGGTGACATTTCAACCACTGGACAGCCAAGGAAGTTCCCACTTCATCTCTGTTTGCCTTTGCTCATCTCAGAGATGAGAGCCCTCCAAAGGTTGTGTTGAGGATTAAACAAGAAACATGAACAACGGCTAACGAAGTCATCAGAAGAGGGCCTGACCATGAAACTCACTCACGAAATGTGATTTTTGCCCTGCCTTCTCCTGTGGGCTGGGTGACCCGAGGCGACTCCACTGGTCCAGAAAGGGGGATGCTATGCAGCTGCCATTAACCACTCATTTCATCAGAAGGTTATCTCAAAAACAGGCCTGGGAACTTCCTGGTGGTCCAGTGGCTAAGACTCCACGCTCCCAATGCAGGGGGCTTGGGTTCGATCTCTGGTCAGGGGAACTCGACCCCATATGCTAGAACTAAGAGTTTACATGCTGCAACTGAGATCTGGTGCAGCCAAAATAAATAAATAAAAATACATACTTAAACAAAAAAAAAAGAAAAAAATAGGCCTGGACTGAGGGTCTCCCATTTCGATGATACTTTGATCCTTTAGAGAGCTTTTACCAAAATGTCTATACTCAAAAATGAAAGGAAAAAAATGTCTGTGTCCTTAACAAGGGGCTTTAAAATGTCCACCCCTCACATCTAGGGTTCATGCCTCAGAAAATAATTCAAAGCTATACATAAAAGTTTACACACAGGTTGGTTTTTGCCATACATTGACATGAATCAGGCACGGATTTACATGTATTCCCCATCCTGAATCCCCTCCAACCTCCCCCCATCCCATCCCTTAGCCTCTAATTAAAAACAAAAGTGTACACACAGGTTGGTTGATCCAGAAATATGCACAAAGATTTATTTACATATAAGACTGTTTTTAAGAACATTAAATAAAACAACAAATGTGGATGTATCCTAAATGCTCCACAATATGGAGAATGGTTAAATATTTTAAGCTTCTGTGAATTATTCTATCCATATGATGGGCAATCATTCAGCCATTTTATAAATTTTGAGAAGCAGGGTAACACATGTGTGCCAAGGGGGGAAAAGGGGTTTTTGACAGAAGGCAAGGGTTTAAAAAGAAAAGCGAATATCCTATGTGTCTTTCTGCACCCTCTTCTAACCCTACTTCCCAGAGGGTTAAAAAGTTAAATAGATACTGGTTTTAGTTTCTATAGTTTTGGGAGCCAGATGGTTAGTTAACTTAAATATGTTAAAAATTACGCATACATTGTTATTTCTCAATTTATCAGCATTACACATTGTTTATGAATTCCTGCTACAACAGATGTGGATTTAGGTCATGAATTTTTGCCCTAAAAATCTGAAGGATTTGTTACCTCCTAGAGGCTTTAGATCCCTCCTTACTCTTCCTCCCACTTTTAATAGTTACATTCAGTTAGCTACCTTTGTCTAACTTTGAAAAATTGAAATTCAATTTTTATGGCATTAAATTTAGTTGTGTGCCAAGGGGGGAAAAGGGGTTTTTGACAGAAGGCAAGGGTTTAAAAAGAAAAGCGAATATCCTATGTGTCTTTCTGCACCCTCTTCTAACCCTACTTCCCAGAGGGTTAAAAAGTTAAATAGATACTGGTTTTAGTTTCTATAGTTTCGGGAGCCAGATGGTTAGTTAACTTAAATATGCTAAAAATTACGCATGTATCGTTATTTCTCAATTTATCAGCATTACACATTGTTTATGAATTCCTGCTACAACAGATGTGGATTTAGGTCATGAATTTTTGTCCTAAAAATCTGAAGGATTTGTTACCTCCTAGAGGCTTTAGATCCCTCCTTACTCTTCCTCCCACTTTTAATAGTTACATTCAGTTAGCTACCTTTGTCTAACTTTGAAAAATTGAAATTCAATTTTTATGGCATTAAATTTAGAGAATGTTTCTTGTCTTCTTATTAAGAAACGTGGTGAAATTAAGGCCCAATATTTTCCTCCTCCATCTCTCCTTTCATTACTTCTGTACTCTAGAATTTATGTTTATTTTATACATACCTATATGCATGTATATTCTGCAATCACAATTAAGTCTTTATGGTGGTTTATAAGTTAATTCTAAAAATTAAAAAAAAAGTAAAGACTATCACTATTATGATTAGACATATGTATTCACTGCATATGAATGGATATGCATATTCGCTCAAATTAACTAAATGCAATCCTGCATAACTAAATATACACCCCTGCGCGCATGTGTGTTCTAAGTCACTTCAGTGAGGTCCGACTCTTTGTGACCCTGTGGACTGTAGCCTGCCAGGTTCCTCTGTCCATGGGATTCTCCAGGCAAGAATGCTGGAGTGGCTTGCCATGCCCTCCTCCAGGGGATCTTCCTGACTCAGGGATCAAAAGCAGGTCTCCTGCATTGCAGACAGAATCTTTTCTTTCTGAGCCACCAGGGAAGCCCAATATATACCCCTAAAAGTGACATCGTTTTAAGGCAGTGCCCTTTCTTACCCTATCAATTTTCCAAATCAAGCCATAGTTTCAGATTACTCCAATTTGGACCAATACGTCCTTGTGTAACTTTTTGTTTTTCCTGGGCTTTCTCATGGCTTTTCTTTTTTCTTCCTGGCGAAACATCCATGTTCTTAACGATATTAGTTGTTGCGGGGAGTCATCTTTTTTTGTTCCTTAAAGTCATCACTCCAAGTGCTCTCTGACACCCAGATCTGGCTGATCTCTAGGCTTGCAGCACTGCTGTCATTGGAGGTCTGTCTTTACTGCCTTCTATATGCATGCGTGCTCAGTCACTAAGTAATATCCCACTCTTTGTGACCCCACAGACTGTAGCCTGCTAGAGTCCTCTGTTCATGGGATTTCCCAAGCAAGAATACTGGCGTGGGTAGCCATTCCCTTCTTCAGGGCATCTTCCCAATCCAGGGATCGAACCCATATTTCTTGCCTTGGTAGGCGGGTTCTTCACCACTGAGTCACCTGATTAAAGAAAAACTATGTTTTGGATTCCATTCCTTTCTTTTCCTTGCATTTTTTTTTCACTTTGATAGAGTATGTTCCATATTTGTGTTCTCTCAAGTAAATTTGTGTAGAACATGTTTTTATTTCTCACATTTTAAAATATTGTTACTCTGCATTCATATGATTGTTATCTTGACTGAGTCCAAGGTCCAAAATCTTTTTCCCTCAGAATATTAACGATGCCACGCCACTGTCTTCGTGTGCCTGATGACCTCTCAGAAGGATCTTGCTTTCTAGGAGCTTTAAGTTCTGAATGCTCAGCCACTTACAAGAAGATTTTGAATTATTTTTTAAGTGCAGCAAAACACACATTACATAACATTT